AGTGTAAAATTGAAATTACAAAAGTTTCAGACACGAAAGGTCACTGGCAGTTGAGTCGTAAAAACTACTGGACAGTGGGTTCAGATCACGGTGCATTCGACTGGTTCCAGTTTACCCATGGGTAACATGATTATGAGCCATTTTCTTATAAATTTCTGTTTTTTACATATTTTTTCAGCCATTACCAGATGCTTGGAGCTTTTTTAACCAATATTGAAAATTTTTGCCTCCCTAAATTTATTTTGAACACAGTGCAAGTTACATTTCATTTTCTTTTTCCATGACACAAGAATTTGATTGCTTGTACTTATAATCTCTAATAAGTCCCTATAACATGACAGACTTTTTCCCTCCCAGATTTATTATTTGACGAAACATCTGTGGACTTACTTTCAAATATATTCCCTTCTTCCTATAATTTTAGCACCCTTTCCTTCAAATAATGCAGGAAGTAAATTTTCTATTACTTTGTCAACCGCAATTTCTCTTGGGCTTTTATATTCTTTTAAAATATCATAAATCAGTTTTGCAGTTAATTTTTCATAAAGTCTTAATTTCATATGCCTATTGGAATATCTTAAAACAAAACTGTTTACACTGTAGACATTTAAGTAATATAAGATTGTATTTACATAAAGATACGGAACATTGGTGAATAGTGATTTTACATGAAAAGAAACTATAAAGTAATTTTTAGGGAAAACCTTTTTTTATATAAATGTTACTGAATTTTTTTTGTTATTGATTTTTTTTAAGTGTTATAAACTAAGTCAAAAATCTAGAACTAAATATTTAGCTAAAAGATACAAGACAGTGTCTATATTTGACATACTTGGGTAGAACGTGATAACACTTTTATGAATTTTGGGCACAGTATGTAATTTGGTGCAATTTGCTACAGATAGGATAATTTTTTAAGTGAATCAGAAGGAACTGTGAAGACTTAATTGCAGTTTTAATTTTTTATGATCCAAAAGTGAAGGGTCTTTAGGGATCAGATTGTATGGGCTTTTATTTAAGAGTTTAGTGAAACCATCAGCACAAGAGCTTTTGTCCATGATGACTCTGTGACCACATTTGTCAGTCTTTGAAATGATAATATCTGGGTTAGAATGTATTTTGCACAATGTAGCTTTTTTCTCTCTTGTTTGAATAAAGGTTTAGAGATCACATTATGGACGATAATATGCCTAATAATTTGCTGTGTATATGAATATTTACTGAATTTGAAAGCTTGTTCAATAGGTGCTAAAATCTTTGGAATATAAAATGTTCAGGTTTGTGAGAAGTTCAGTTTCAGAATTCTTCTTTGTTCCTCCCATAAATTCATATTAGAAATATTAACTATTGGACTGGTGTTCACAATGGGAAGATCTGAAATATTTAAATTGGAACACTGATTATAGGTTTCGGAATTTAGATGCAAAGTAATGTAATTAAAAAGCTTCCAGCTGTGTTTAAAAAATTCTCCTGAACTGCAAACTTAGCCTGTTTGGGTCCATCTTATCCTTGCTATTTCATAAAGTGATAGAACACAAATTTTGCTACATGATTGCAAAATATTTTCTTACCGAAGTTTTCAAACACAGCTGATGCTCACTCTTACATACTACAGAGAATGCATGTTATAATAAATAGTCATTATAATTTAATGTAATATATACTCTGATTAGCTGTTAACTTTTGTATTAGTCATAATGATATGGTAAGTAAACAAGCATCTATTGTACTGGTCTAGTATATGATAAAAACATAAATACCTTCAGTCTATTTTTACATACAGAAAATGAGCAACTGACTTACTGGAAATGCTTTCTCAGTAACCAAATCATGTAATTTATCTTCATTTCGCCTATAATAATGATAAAACATAATTTATACATAAAATATAAATTTTAAGGTAGCAAAAAAGGATTTCAGTATGTCAGAAATTGCATCATGCAAGAAATTATCATTAATATTTAAACAGCAAATTACTAAATTAAGTTGTCCAAATGCAAATGGGGGGAAAAACCCACTGCTGAACACCACAGATTATAGTGATTTAGTTCTTTGTTTCTATAAAAATTAAAAATGCACAAAATCATATTTTAGAATAATATTTTTAATCAATTATAAAAATATTTCAAAAAATAAATTCTTACTCAGCCAGTGCTTGTTGGGCTTCGATATAAATATCATGAGCTTTCTGGGCAACTGTAGGAATATCAAATTCATAATCATGGTCCCTAATTTTGCGCAATGCTAAATATGACTTCCCTTTTTTAGATACAAGTTCATACATCTGTTTTGCACCCTACAGATAAACAAACAATAACAATTTAATAATGGACAGAAAAGTAACAAATTACAGCTTAAAACTTCAAGAAATATTAACTTATTATTTTGCAACACTTGCACAGCTTCAACCTATAAAAGAAGGAGTTTTTGTAGTTGTATTCCAAGTTTAAACGTGTGTAACAACACTGCTAAGAATAAGCAGGAGGATTATTATTACACCATAGTTCTTGAATTAATCAAAGCAATATGGAACTGGAATTCACACATGAATTTTTAACAATCAACTTCAAAAGAAGGTATCTGATTTTTCTTTTACAATAAATTTTACAAAAATTCAAATTACAGTAAAAACTCCATAAATAACATGAAGGTATACAATTAGCATTAAAAATAATTATTTAATTTCAATAAGCAAAAATAAATACACAATCTAAGTGCAACTCTTACAGATGAACAGAAATAGGTATCAGTTCTTCCAAGAATTTTTAAGAGCATATACTATTTAGATCATTTAAGAACATTACCATTGTGATCTTAAATTGCCATTCTGTTATTAGCTACTAATTGAGTAGTTTTTTTAGATGATGCATAAGATCATATTAAAGTAGTGCAAAAACAAAAATTCTATTTGCTTGTATTGAAACTTCATTTGCATTTCCCAAAAGAACAAGGTTTTGCTTCATATGATTTGGTACCAACACACAGAATTTGAGAAATTTCCTGTAATGAGCTATGAATAGTAAAATCCAGTAATTCACACATCTTGGAAGCAAGGATTATGTAAATTAAACAATATTTTAGATTAGTCAGATTTCTCTTAGTTTTGTTTACACTCCCACTTTCTAATTTTTGCATTAAATTTAGATTGTGCATAAATAATTAACAAGATTTACCGAATAAAAAAATTATTCTATTTTCCAAGCACAAAAATATACAAATAAATAATGTGATTACATAGAGAAAATGCAACAGAAAGAAGAAAGGGAAAAAATTACTGAAATAAAAAAAAACTTTTGTTAATAAGAAGCAAAGTAATTTTTTTAAGAAAATTGTATATCTACAGAAAAATTGCTCTTTAATAGTCTTTTACAATACAAACAAGAAAATACATAAATACACAATTTACAAAAGCCACAGCAGTAAGGATTTTCACTAAAAAAACTTTTCTGCATGGACATGTACAATGCACTGGTATTGCTTACTCTCCCACCTGTCTCATAGCATTTGCAAAAACCAAATGTATTTTAATCATTTCACTAGCTGTACAGCACTGATTAATTTAGTAATTATAATTCTGACATCTTTAACTTTAAGGTGTTTTTATATTGGGCTATACAAGGGAAAACTACTAATGCAGCTTAAAAGAAATATTTTTTGTTTCTAACATTTTTTGTTATTTTTATATGAAGGCATGCCTTTGAGTATTAGTGTAGCAGAAAAAAACAAAATTATGCAGCATACATGCATGGATTTTCTTTTTCTAGGTCCTAAGCAAAATAATGGCAGAATATGACAAGACAGCACTTCAGGGTATTGAGCATTCATTATCTTCCCCTTCATAATTGAGCCCAAATATGTTTACTGCAATTTGAAATCCAAGTACACTTAACTGAGCTTCAACAGAACGATCAAGCACAGCTATATATCCGTAACTTGCAAGTTTTGTTCTGAAAGTTTCTAGGAGTCACTGAAAGAATGTTTCAAAAACTAGTCTAAAGATGGATTTCTAAGGGCCTTACATATATCAGTTCTTTCGGTACACACACCAAAAGAAAGTACCAAAGGTACTATTTTTTTGGTACATTTGGTCACAAGAAAGTAAACTTCACTTTTACTCTAGAATTTTATTTCGCATATGACAGTGAATAATTATGAATAAAATAAGATGAAGCTGAGCTAATTTATCCAGGATAGCGCAAAACACGATTAATCTGACTTTTCAAGTCAGTCAGATTGCAGAGGTTAGTTGGTACAAAATAATTTTTTTTTGACAACACTAATTTATTTCAGATATTTTAATATTGTTATCAAAGCAATCTATGACAATATTATTTGTTAAATATTGCCATTTTACATTAAATTTATGGAGTGTTTTCATCAAATTTGTTTTACAGGTTCTAATCTCTATACATAAAAATCAGATTCACTCATTGCTTACATCAACATACTCTACATATGTAGCACTATGTGTTGTTTGTTAGGATTAGTTAACAGCATATGAATTCAGTTTCGTAGCTAGCATAAGAGGATAGGATATCATCATATGTAGAAAGTGTCTTTAATAACTTATGAGCTGAAAATGTGCTTGCCCTTCTCATGGACTGAAGGTAAAACTCTGACTTCTGATGAAATAAAAGTAGGAGGAAGAAAATGAGCTAAACTAGTAGGGGAAAAAAAAAAAAAAAAAAAAAAAAAAACCGAAACTACTAAAAATTATGATAGTAAAAAAAATTAAGGAAATTCATGTACAAACTGACAGATTTCATTGTAAAGCTTTAAACAATATTTAAAAGTAAAAATAGATCATAAACTATATTACAGATTTCAAAAGCCTGTACATTTATATAATTTTTAAAAGAATGTTAAGTGTTTTTAAAAAAAATTATGAAATATACATGTTTCAAAATATTGTATCAGTTTTGAAATTTTCTAGTAACAAAAAACTAATAAAAGTGCCAATTCAAACAATGAATAACTTAAGAAAAATACAATTCAACATACGGGATTTGATAATGCAGAAATTTTGCCATCTCCTTCAGGTGGGACATATGGATCAAATACGCTACCTATAAAAAGTTAATAAAAAAAAACAATGCAGCCAAGCAAAGCTTAAGACAAAATAAATGTACACTGTGGGAAAAAAATATATATATATATATATCTCCAGTTCTACTGGGTCGATTGATGAAATTCAAATTGAGTTTTTCGTATCTCGAAATCGCGACTTAGGATATATATCACATTTATGTATAGCATTATTCTAACATAGGTATCTTGACACAAAATCGGCCCTTTTCTGAAATGACATGCTAATTTTTTCCCATATTTTGAATCTATGAATCAAATTATGCCTAAATATTAAATTTTGTAAAATTTTGTGCAAAACTACAGAAGTTCAAAAATTTACTTGGCATATTTTTTTTAAAATTTGAGCCAAGAATAACTTACTTGGCGAACTTCTTAATTTATAGCAAACTCTTTTCCTTTCCTTTTTTAAGTTGTAGATGAGTGGAAAAAAAAGTCATCATTCCCACTTTCAATTAATTTTAATGAAGTGTGTAAACCACATTTGGTGTTATTACTGCCCAAAATGGGATGATGCCTAATTGCCAATATGTAAATTCATATATATCTTACAAAATTTTGAATAAAGAAACTAATATTTTGCAGGTGTGCCTAGAAATACATCTACTTTAAGATGATGTTAAAAATTTTATAGTTATATAAATAGCACATATATATATATATATATATATATAGCCAAAAAGTTGCTTAGATATTGTGGTTCCGTTGACAATATTAACATAAGTAAAATAAAGTGCAATGAAAGGCGTAAATATAAAAGATTAAATAAACAATATAAACACTTGAATATTTACAAATAAAATTCAATACTAATAGTAAGTAATATGCTGATCAAAGTAAGGCATATTTTAAACATTAGAATTAAAGTGCGACAAGAGACTTAAGCAATAGCTTAAGCTTTTCTTCTGCTTGAAAAAACACATTAAGGTGAAAAATAACTATACATAATGGACTGGTAATGCCAATGTACAAAATAAAATAAATAGCAATTTGCTATTAGTAAAAAAATACAAGATTTTATGGGAGGACCTACTAGCTTATAGAGTTTAAACTTTGTGAATGTACCAAAAATTAAATTTATAATCTATAATAATAAAAGCAAGTGTAATATGTCTGTCTGTCTGTCTGACCGAGCTCTCCAGCCAAATCTATCGCACGCAGGGACCTGGAATTTTTTTATACGGAAGCACAAAGGGGGGCTGGCCACCAGACCTCGAAGCCTGATTTTCGATTTTTGAATTAGAAAAAATTAAAAAAAAATTATTTATAATTTATTAATCACGGTTTTTTGACTCACTGATATTATTATTTGTTTTCAAATAACGTTCGATTGTAACAATTGATTTCTTTATTCTAGCGTTAGTTTGCTGTTTTGACGATACATTAAATCGATTAATTACAATTCATTTCTTTTTTGTAGCTTGTGGGGGGGGGAAGAGAGAGAGACAGTCTACATGTCCTACACTACTATTCCTGCGCTATTCACTTATCTGCATTTTCTAAATGCACGGGCAACGCAGGGCGGGTACACCTAGTTTATAATAAAAAGCAAAGAAAATTAAAATTTTTTTGAAAGGGTCTTGCTAAGACCAAAAATCAATACAAGGGAAAGAAATATTTTTTTAAAAACAGACCTGGAACGTTGATGTCTTCTATCTTGAACTATGCAAACTCAAAAAAGAGGGGTGAAAGCCTCGAGCAAGGAAGTTGCCAACCAACTAGGCAGTATGACATAAAAAGGGGAAGAAACATCATGAGGAAAGAGCCAATGAAATTTGACTAACCGTTGGCATAAACCTGACTCAGTGTAATGGGGGGAGGCAATGTGCTGAAGAATGCAGAAATTGTTCAAGATAGCGTCTTGCTTTACGAGTTTTAAGGAATTTGGGTGTAGGTGAAAGAAAAAATGGCTAATTCTAAAAATGTTAAAATATGGCCACACAAGTAAGAATAAATTAGGAAAAAATAGTAAATTGTTAATTAAAGTCATAATTCTTCAAGCTAGAGTGTGATCAAGCTTCCAGAAACGAAATGGCCCATAAATTAACAACAGGAAAGAAATGGCCAGAAAACGCTTAAAATCTATTTAAGAATAGTGCCAAATTTTAAGAGTAAAATTGAAGCTGTGAGAGGAATTAATTTTACATTTATACATTAGATCTTCTGAATCAGCCATCCACTTTATACCGTCCCATAGGGCTTTAACCCCTTAACTGCCGCGGGCGTATATATACGCCTTGCTCAGCCGATGCGTTAACTGCCCCAGGCGTATATATAAGTCCTTCCAAACTGCTATCATTTGCTTTGCGCTGCTACACCTAAAATTATTCGCAAAGTTAACGCATCGGCTGCGCATCTGGGGCAGTTAACGCATCAGCTGAGCAAGGCGTATATATACGCCCGCGGCAGTTAAGGGGTTAAGCATAAAATTTCATTATCTAACTCAAAAAATCTAAAAGATAAAGTTAATGCCAGCTTTTTTTAATGCATTTTTAATGATTTTTGTAGGAATTAGGTTGTTCTTCAAGATAGTTGCAAAGTAGAGTATTTCTTTTAAATGGTGTTCTGTAGTATTACAGATACTTTTAATTCTAAGTAGTTGTGCGTAAATTGTATTGAGGACAACCCTTTTAGAAATATTTGAATTCCAGTTAGTAATTTAAGTGTAGGAAAGTTGAAATCTCTTTATCGTAGATTTTCAAAAAATTGTAATCTATTTTATACAAATCTATATCATTTTCCACTGTATATGTAGTATTAAGTTGTAGGCAGGAAGGGTAAATATTAGCTTTTTCTATTTTGTGTAAGTTGTTGAAGGCAATTAAATCATCAATATAATGAAAGATGTGTTGGTAGTATTTTTGATCTTCATCTTTTAGTGAACGTACAAAAGTAAATTCTTGGGTAAAAAGGAATAATTCACAGATTGCAGTTGAAAAGTTCCCGCCCATAGGTATTCCCTGTATTTGTTTAATGATGTTGCTATTAAATTGAATATAATTATTGAAGAGAATGCTATATATTTTATAAGTATATATTTATACAAAAGTTTTTTTCAAAAATTTATAAAAAATATTTTTAAAATATGAATTTAAAAAATATATCACAAAAAATGAGCGAATTATATTTGTTTAAATCTTTAAGTGATCAATTTTTTTACCAGAATTGCTCCCAAAAAAAGCATATTTTTTTATTGCATATAATTAAGTACCATACTTATTAGAATAAGAATAATAAGAGTTTTTAATGTTTTTTTTCACTTTTAATGGTTTTACAACATTTTTTATTTTACAATTTTGGAAAACAAAACCCCCTAAATGTTTGCTTTTTTTAAGTACTTTTGCATGCAGTGAAGAATGGTTTACAATTTCTATAAAAATTTCTCTCATACTTACTGTGAATTTTGAAGTTTATATTTTTCCAAACAGTTCAGAAGTCTTTTCGTGTATGGTATAATTTGAAGCATGGTGTAATGCAGAGTCCTACGTCGCAATCAGGGCAAAAATACCTTGTTTCTTTTCGTATTCTTTTTCCATTCTCATTTCTTTTAGAACAGTACACTGCGCATTGTCTTGCAGGTCTCATTTTCTTATCTGTGGGAGCAATTATTTCCAAAAAATGTCTCTCTGTCAATCTCAGAGGATTAGGCTCCGAACCTGGTCGTCCACGTCGGAAATTTTGTCCCAAATGATATGTTTCAATTATACGGTCAACGAGATCAAGTCTAAATTCCAGTTGTGTACTTTTTTCTCCGTTTTTACGGTAGACAACATATGAGTTCCATACAGCAATATCAAAAATGCGGAAAAAAATCTTTCTGTAACATTTTTTACCCCTTTTCTTGATAATTTCAAAACTCTTCAAATTTTGGTCCATGCGGTCTACTCCTCCCATAGTATTATTATAGTCCATAACAATTTTCGGTTTTTGTTTCATATCAGAGCGGACTTGAATTTGTTCCATTTCAGTATTGTGAATTGTGGAAAGTAATGAAACTTTTTCTTTATCCATCAACTTCATCACAGTAACTTTTCCTCTCTGAAAACCTATAATCTCTCCTTTTTTCAATTTTCTTTTCTGTATTTCTTTTGGGACTTCTTTTCTCTTGAGGTTTAGTGTGCCGTATGTGTCCGTTCGACACGAAACTAGTTTGTCTGCTAATTCTGGCGAAGAATAATAATTGTCTATCGTAAGACAGTATCCTTTATGAAGCAAAGGCTCCATCATTGTCAGGACAATTTGTGATGAAAAGCAAAGTTTAGAATATTCAGGTTTCAGAATTGTGTTTTTACCTGTATATATTATTATTGACCAGACATAACCAGAATTGGATTCGCACAACATAAAACATTTTACTCCAAATCTAGCTCTTTTGAGTGGAATAAATTGTTTCCATCCTAGTCGTCCTTTGAATAGCATAAGGCTCTCATCTATTGTTACATCTTGCTCTGGTGTCATCGTTTCACTAAATTTCTTATTGAGATGTTTTACAACTGGCCAAACTTTAACTAATTTTGGGCATTCGTGATTTTCTTTGTCAAATGCTGCATTATCAGAAAAATGCAAGTAACATTGCAAAAGACAGAATCGACGATTAGACATTATTTTAGAGAAAAAAGGTGTATTAGTCGAATATCTTTTGCTCCAATAATGATCAATTCCAGGTTTCTTCACAATTCCTTGAAGTATATTCAGAGAGAAAAATACATGCAACTCGTTCACAGTTGTCTCTTCCCAAAATTTACTCTTTGAGAATTATTTTGCAACACTTGATTGGATGCACTGTTTAGCATATTTATTTGTCTCTTCCACAATTTTACTCATGAGTGAAGAATCAATGAATGTTTCATAAAATTCTAAAACATCAGAAGTGTCGTCAAATTGTGTGTGCACAGAAGGAATACCAGTAAATTTAAATCGAGGACACGGAACAGGTGGATTTTTTACATCAACCTCGGTAAAAATCCTTGCAGAACACAAATCTTCATCAGAGCTGAGCTCACTGCCTGATTCATCTGAGGAATAATCCAAATAATTAGATGAAATATCTGTATTTGTATCAGAATGTAGTTCATCATCTAACAAGAAAGTATTTTCGTCGTTTATTCCATCCATAACTTCCATAAGAAAAGACAAGGTTTTAAATTCACAAGCATTGAATACAGTAGAACAAAAATTTCAAAGAAGAATCCCCCCTTTCCCGCTACAAAGAAAAAGCCGGATGAAAAGCATTTCAGTTACATGGACAAGTCACGCCATCTGTCGAAAAATATTAATACTAAATAGTATCTTTACAATAATGAAAAATACGGGCAAACCAGAAAAGGAAAGGAGAAAATATCTATGCCCATACGCCGTACGGGCAAACTGCTTAAGGGGTTAAGTCTAAATTTCAAATTCTGTAAAAAGGAATCAAGTAAGTTTAATAAAAAAAGAGAGATTAATAAATATATATATCAAAGTCAATTATAACATTGAGAAGATAAAATTTTGAGAGCTAATTTTTAAAAACTACTCATGTGATTTTTACAAAACTTAGTAGAACAGGAGATATAGAACTGTTCCTTTTTTTTTCCCACAGTGTACATAATACAATAATAAAATAATGCAGTAAAACTTTTATATTACAAAAACTGGCTTTCAATAAACTCAGACTAGCAAATAATATAAGAAATTTGTTCAGACTAGCAAACAAAAATTATGTGAACTTCAGAATGTTTAAAATTTTGATGTTTAGTAGCCAAAATATTAAAAACTGTACTTTTAGTATACATTACATATAAAGTGAGATTAGAGATTACATGATATTTGAAAAAGAAATTAAAATATGAATATGTCAAAAGAAAATATAATTTTACACACTTATAATCTATCTTCTAAGCAAAAGCAAAACCCCTGCCTGATTTGGTATTTCAGTTTGAAAAATGCAATTAAACTATCAAAGTAGTACTTCCTAAATTTTTAATTATTATACTGATATTTCATTGATACTAATAATGAAAATTTTGTCTCCCACTCAAAATCACATCTATGTAATAAAGCAAGTATATTAAATACATTCTAGAAAATTATTCTGCAGAAAAAATCAACATGTCTAGTCATCTAAGAAGAAATAAACTGGAACACATTACTATACTGTTTGCATTACACTATGCCTGCTATCGGCTAACTTTCACGTAATCGCAAGTTTGAACCCAGCCAAATTTGTCAAGATCCTCAAAGTCAAGCAAAGGATGCAGTTTAATATACTGACTACTATTTCACTCTATCTGCCTCAGAATATAACAGAAAAAAATCATCATATATGCAAATAATGAAATTAAGTCTAAAAGGATACATTATCTAAAAACATGAACAATAGCTGATACCAATATGGAAGAAATCAATACATTTTTAGAAACTTCAACTACTTAGCCTTGGAGAATTAAAAGTTTAAAAGAGATTTGGAGTTTTGCTCAGCATAGTTCAATTTGATGATTAAGATTTTGCAGAGTTAAAAGAAGGGAGACCATTCTGCAGCCATCCAAGAAATCTGAAAATTATTTGTAAAACTCATGAAATATATAAATCATGATGTTTTCTTACAAGCAATGAAATTTACTAGCATTTCTTGGTAGATGTCCTTTTTGCACATATTTACCAAATAAGCCAATAAAATATGGTAAAAATCTAGATCTAATATTTAATGTCAGAACCAAATTCATTATAAATGCAATGCTGATCATCTGGTACCAAAGGTCTTCTAATAATGAATTATTAAAGAATTATCAAATTATTCCATCAGAGAATCAAGAAAGAATATCAGTTCAAATAAGTAAATCAATAACACTTTTGGATGAATATCTGACGTCTCCACACAAATGTATTATGATTGAAATATACAAAAATATAGGAAGTTTCTCTGAATTATTAGAAAAGTTGGCTGTTGGCCCTTTATTGTTTTCTTTTGACACTGAATAAATTGTTTTATATAAATGTTAAGTTGTTACTGTGATATCTACAACTCAAGAAGAGGGAAATGCAAATCTTGAAATAACTAAAACCAGATATTGAGACTCTATATACTATTTGGTAAAGCTGACACATTTGATCATTTGTGTAGCCTGATGAGCTGTAGAAAGGCATATATAATCAATATGCATGCTTTTTGCACAATAAATACAATATTGGTAAATTAATTATGATATACTTTGCAATTACATATTAAAAAAGGAGATGAGTACAAAGGAACTTGCAGAGTTAGCTCTGACTCAGTAGGAGTTTGGATATCATAAAGAGAAAACCTTACTTTTCCGTCGAATTTATAAAAAAATATTAAACAAGAAAGGTATAATGTAAATTTTGCCTAAATTTAACCCGGAATAAAAAACGGACACTGTTCGGTGTCTGAAAGAGTATTGCTTGGCAGCATTGTTTTACGCCAAGCAGAGTTTGGCTTTAGTGTAACCCTAAAGTTATTTCGTTTTTGCTTTATTAGTATGAATGATTTCTGACTTGATGTAAGAGCATATGGTTGCTCGCTCTTTAGCTAAGTTACATAGGTAACTATAAGCACATGCGTGTGCTAGTATTCAATAATGTTGTTTTTTGTTAAAATAAAATTGTTATTGTTAATATTACAGTCCACTTACTGAAGTTAAGTATCATTAAATAAGTTCGAGCTATCTTCGGCAAGAACAGTTTGGTCTCACGTTAGCCGGAGAAGAATATGGCTACTAATATTGTTTCATTGAATCGCCAACGCGGCGTAGTGAAAACGAAACTCGGAGCTTTGATAAAATTCCTTGATGAGTATAAAATGGAGGAGAATAAACTCAACCATGATGTTATTATGAAGACTAAATTGGATTCTTTGTTGGAATTAAAATCTCGGGTTAAACAACTCATAGTGGAATACACCAATTTGCCAGAGGAAATTGACTTGAAGGATAATCTAAGCATTACACAAGAATTGGAAGAAAGCATCGAAGAGTTCGAAGTAAGATTTAGAATTTTTCTTTCTAATTGTGAAACAAATAATAAAGATAAATTTGAAACCAAAACTGTTTCTAAATCAAATTTTAAACTGCCTGATTTACCTCTTCCTCAATTTTATGGTAAATATGAAGATTTTAAAAATTTTAAAGTGCAATTTATGTCTATGATTGGTAATAATAATAATTTAAATGATACTGAGAAACTGTTTTATTTGAAAGCATCACTTAAAGGTGAAGCAAAAATGTTAGAATCATGTCAGGATACATTTGAGTCGCTATTTTCTGCACTTGAAACAGATATGAAAAACAAAAGAGAGCAGTAGTTGATGCCTTTATTAATAATTTGTTGAACTTTGAAAAAATAAATGACTCACCTTCTCAGTTGAGATCACTGGTAGATAATGTTAAAAGATGTTTGAGATCTTTAAGTGTATTAGAATTTGATAGAAATAATTTATCTGATGTTTTGATATTAAATATTTTATTGCATAAATTAGATAGAGAATCTAGAAAAGCATTTGAACTAAACGTAAAATCAAATGAAATTCCCAAACTTGATGAATTTTTAGAATTTCTCGAAGAAAGAATTCGCATTCTTGAAGAAATAAACAAAGTTAGTTTTCCTAAGCAGAGCTATGCTACTAAAGTATCAAATCAATTAAGTCGCTCTAGAAATTCAAAATCCTTGGTAACTAAAACAAACCCTTTTCGAAAGTGTATTATGTGTAAAGAACCACACCCAATTTATCATTGTTCGAAATTTAAGAGCATTTCTGTTTCTGAGCAGTATGATTTTGTTAAGGAATATAAATTATGCATTAAATGCCTTTCTCCATCACATGTATTATCACAGTGTAAAGCTAAATTCAGTTGTTATGTCTGTAAGAAAGACACACATCATACGCTGTTGCATAAAAGTGACGAAAAACAAAATGAATCATCGAAAGAAAAAAAATTGACCTTGAACCTTTCGTCAGTGAATGGGAAAGAGGACTGCTCCTATCCCACCCACACAGCTTTGTTGGCAGCTGCAAATAAATCTAAATTTGTGTTAATAAATACAGCGATTGTTTATCTTCGCGATGTTTACGATGAACGAATTCCTTTTAGAGCCGTGCTTGATTCAGCTTCGACTTCTAATTTTTGTACTGTAGGTGTTATGAACTCATTAGGAATAAAAAAAGAACGAGCATTTATTCCAGTTAGTGGAATAGGCAACACTACTTTGAATGTTAAATCGCAAATAAAGACGCGTTTATCGAACTTAGAAAAGGAAAATGAATGGGAAATAGAGTTATTAGTTGTTCCCAAAATAACTGACATGACACCATCGAAATCTATTGATATTTCGAAATTAAATATTCCGAAAGGAATAAAGTTAGCTGATGATGAATTTTTCAAGGCAAAAAAGGTAGATTTATTATTAGGTGCGGAATTATTTTTTGAATTTTTAAAAACAGATAAAATACGTTTAGAAGATAATGAGTTACTTCTTCAAAACAGCTGCTTCGGCTTTTTAGTTTCTGGAAGCATTAGAATTCCAAATGTAAAAAATTATGACTTAAATTATTGTTTTTTTGTCAACAGAGATTAATTCGTTAAATAACTTAGTAAAGTCATTTTGGGAAGTTGAAGAAGTAAATGAAACTAAATCTACAGTTAATTCTGAATTAAATTATTGCAACGAACTTTTTGAAAAACTCATTTTACCGGCATGCGGATGGAAGATATGTGGTTAAAATGCCGTTCAAGCCAGATATTGGTGAAAACATACAATTAGGGGATTCAAAGGAAATCGCTGAAAAAAGACTGAATCAATTGTGGAAACGTTTGTCGAGTGATTCTGTAATGAAAGAACTTTATGTTTCATTTTTAAGGGAATATGAATCATTAAATCATATGGAGAGGATGGAAGACTATTCTGAAACTGAAGGAGGATATTTTCTTCCTCATCATGGCGTGCTGAAACCTGATAGTAAAACAACAAAGTTACGCGTTGTGTTCGACGCGAGTGCCAAAACTACTAACGGTTGTTCATTGAACGACATATTATGTAAAGGTGGAATGATTCAAGAGGAACTTTTTTCCATCATGATACGGTTTAGAAAGCATATTTATGCATTTACTGCCGATATTGAGAAGATGTTTCGACAAATTGAAATATTGCCATCGCAGACCAAATATCAGAAAATACTTTGGAAGGAAGATGAAGATAAGCCTATAGAAATATACAGACTCAAAACGGTAACTTATGGCACAGCATGCGCTCCATATTTGGCACAAAGGACTCTTCAACAGTTAGCGAAGGATGAAGAAAAGGATTTTCCTGTAGCATCGAAAGTGGTCTTGGAAGATTTCTATGTAGACGACTGTCTTACTGGATCTTCGAATTTGAAGGAATGCATTCAGCTCCAGAAAGATTTGACAGAATTGCTCCAAAGAGGAGGAATGAAGCTACACAAGTGGTGTACTAGTTTTGATTCTCAGAACTCTGATTTACAGAATTTTTCA